TGAGGGACAGCGCCCAGGCCCAGAGTTCAAGCCCCACGACCGACAAAAAAAAAAAAAAGAATTCACTTGGAAGGGCTGGAAGGTGCCTCAGTGGTAGAGTGCTTGCCTTGCATGCATGAGGCCCTGGGTTCGATTCCTCAGTACCACATAAGCAGCAAAAGCCGGAAGTGGTGCTGTGGCTTAAGTGGTAGAGCACTAGCCTACAGCTGAAGAGCTGAGGGACAGTGTTCAGGCCCAGAGTTCAGGCCCCACGACCCACAACAAAACAACAACAACAACAACAAAAAAAAACAACAACAAAAGAGTTCACAGGGAATGGGGTGCTGGTGGCTCAAGCCTGTAATCCTAGCTACTCAGGAGGCTGAAGATCTGAGGATCTCGGTTTAAAGCCAGCCTGTGCAGGAAAGTCTGTGAGATTCTTATCTCCAATTAACCACCAGAAAACCTGAATTAGCACTGTGGCTCAAGTGGTAGAGTGCTACTCTTGAGCTGAACTGCTGAGGGACAGAGCTCAGGCCCAAAGATCAAGCCCCACGACCAAACAAAAACAAAAACAAAACAGTACTTGTTAGAGATAGTTGTGAATTAAGAAAAATCCTTAGGCTGGGCACCTGTGGCTCATGCCTGTAATCCTAGCTACTCAAGGAAGCTAAGATCTGATGATCACAGTTCAACGCCAGCCAGGGCAGAAAAGTCTCTGTGAGACTCTTTTTTTTTTTTTCTGGTAATAAACCTTTCTTTGTTCTTTGTACCTAGATGTCTTCATGGTTGTTTGGAAAAAGTCTAATTTACACTATCAACTAGTCTTGAGCACAAAGAGGCTCAAAGACAGCACACAGGCCACAGACTTTCCTGCCCTGGCTGGCTTTGAACCTCGATTCTCAGATCAGGCAGGAAACACCAGCACCTAGCCAAACTTTTTTTTTTTCCTTTTGGTAGTGGGGCTTGAACTCTGGGCCTGGGCACTGTCCCTCAGCTCTTCAGCTCAAGCTGAGTGCTCTACCACTTGAGTCACAGCACCACTTCCAGTTTTCTGGTGGTTAATTGGAGATAAGAGTCCCACAGACTTTCCTGCCAGGGGTTGGCTTTGAACTGAGATCCTCAGATCTCAACCTTCTGAGTAGCTAGGATTACAGGTGTGAGCCACCAGTTCAGCCTCTTGAATAGCTAGGATTACAGTGAGCCACCAGCACCAGGTATTAACTAAACTTAAAAAAAAAAAAAGTTCTTATAAAGGTAACAGAGAGGTTACATAATTAGTACATTTCTTTTTAGACAACGCAACCCTTTCCCTTGCTTTCTCCCAATTTTTAGCCTCCAAACTTTTTTTTGTTCGTGGGCCTTGACCTCTGGGCTTGGGCCCTGTCCCTTAGCTCTTTGGCTCAAGGCCAGCACTCTACCACTTGAGCCAGTGTCACTTCTGGTTTTCTGGAAGTTAATTGGAGAAAAGAGTCTCATGGACTTTCCTGCCTGAAATGGCTGTGAATCATGATCCTCAGATCTCAGTCTCCTGAGTAGCTAGGATTACGACTGGTGCTTGGGCACTGTCCTTGAGCTGCTTTTGTTCAAGGCTAGCACTCTACCACTTGAGCCATAGTGCTACTTCTGGCTTTTTCTGTTTATATGGTACTGAGGAATCAAACCCAGGCCTTCATGAATGTTAGGCAAGCACTCTACACTAAACTACAATTCCAGTGCCTCCAAACTTTTTATGTTGGACTTTTTTTGGGGGGGGTCCGGTCGTGGGGCCTGAACTCTGGGCCTGGGCACTGTCCCTCAGCTCTTCAGCTCAAGGCTAGCACTCTACTACTTGAGCCACAGCATCACTTCCGGCTTTTTTCTTTTTGCTTATGTGGTGCTGAGGAATCGAACCCAGGGCCTCATGCATGCAAGGCAAGCGCTCCACCACTGAGCCACCTTCCCTGCCCTATGTTGGACTTCTTAGAAAAAAAAAACTTTTTTTTGAGTTGGTCGTGGGGCTTGAACTCTGGGCCTGGGCACTGTCCCTCAGATCTTCAGCTTAAGGTGAGTGTTATACCACTTGAGCCACAACCAGTGCCACTTCTGGTTTTCTGGTGGTTTATTGGAGATAAGAGTCTCAGGGACTTTCCTACCCAGGCTAGCTTTGAACCGCCATCCTCAGATCTCAGCCTCCTGAGTAGCAAGTATTACAGACATAAGCCACTGACGCCCAGAAAACTTTTTATTTTTTCTGGTGGTGTTGGGGATACACATCTAAAGTCTTTCATATTAGTCTCCAATATTCTCTTTTTTGTATGTCTCTCCTTGACCTAGTACTCATTTAAGAAAACACTAAGACTCTTTTATTTTTCCTGGCATCAGGGAATTTCCAGACAATTGCTGTAATTGGCCAAGATCCAAATCTAAAATCAGAATCAGTTCTGAAGTATCATTGAAATGATTATGTAAATGACACTGTGCAAGGACTAATTCTGCAAAATGCATTATAAAGAGATTTCTCACTGAATAAGTAGCTCAATTTCATTTTGGGAAAACAATGCTAAACAACATGTAGGAAAATAATTTTACTTTCTGTAAGCATTCATTCACTTAAAGAATAACCAATGAGGTCTTCTTCCATAACCAGCATAACAGTGGCCTATATAAACACAAGTAAGTATATGATAAGATTTCACTCTAGCAAATGGCACTGTTATTGAGACTAGACAGAACAGTATTGGATTCATATACTAGTATATTTATAGTTCCTTCATCTCATTTTTCCATTCATGTCCCTCACCCAATCTGGTCTTTTTTTTGTTTGTTTTTGTTTCTGAGACTGTGATGGATTATGGATACAGCCAAACTGAAGCATGCTTCTAGATTCCCTTATCCCTTTTGCCAGTCCTGGGGCTTGAGTTTAGGGCCTACTATCCCTTAGCTCTTTTTGCTCAAGGCTAGTGGTCCACTTTTGATTTTGGAGCAGTTAATTGGAGATAAGAATCTCATGGGGGGCATCGAGCCAGAAGCAGCCACCAGGATGGATGTGTTCCTCATGATCCGGCGCCACAAGACCATCATCTTCACAGACGCCAAGGAGCGGCACCACAAGACCACCATCTTAACAGACGCCAAGGAGTAGAGCACCGTGTTCGAACTGAAGCGCATTGTCGAGGGCATCCTTCAAGCGGCCACCGGACGAGCAGCGGCTCTACAAGGACGACCAGCTTCTAGATTATGGGAAAACGCTGGGCGAGTGTGGCTTCACCTGCCAGACAGCACGGCCACAGGCCCCAGCCACAGTGGGCTTAGCCTTCCAGGCAGCTCAGGACAACCAGTACTGCATTAGTTTTCATTTCGAAGATGATGATGCTGAGGCAGTCCCATGGGCCTGGCTAGGCTTTGAAGTAGCTTCTGGAGCCAGACTGCATGGCTGTACAGTGCATTTCTGAGACCTGTACTGCGCCCATTTTTAGATAAGTTAAAGAATCTGAAGTGGTCTGGTTACTAGCTGGGACATTAACTCCGGAGTCATATCAACAAAGCTTGTGATCTAATCCATCCTGCCTCAGCCCTGCCCAAATCTTAGAAATTTGAAAGATGAAGCCTTTGAGGCCCTGCGCATCGAGCCCTTCTCCAGCCCACCAGAGCTTCCAGATGTGGTGAAGCCTCAGGATTCCGGAGGCAGTGCCAATGAACAAGCTGTGCAGTGAGGGCCCCAGGCATGCCCCCAGAGGCTCATTTCCCTCCTACCCCCAATAAAAGAAATTTGGGTGTATTAAAAAAAAAAAAAAGGATCTCATGGGGATTTTTCTGCCCAGGCTGACTTTTAACCTCGATCCTCTGATCTCAGTCTCCTGAGTAGCTAGGATTACAGGTGTGAGCCTCCAGTACCTAGCCAACTTCTGTCATTTTGGGCAGGTAATTAAGGTAAGAGTCTCATAGACTTTCCTACCTGGGCTGGCCTCAAACTTCAATCCTCAGATCTCAGCCTTCAGGGTGGCTAGGATTACAGGCTTGAACCAACAGTACAATCCCTAACCTTATCCCTTTCATCTTTTCTGTTACTCAACCCAGAATTTTCTTACCTCTTTATTCCAGGTTGTGTAGCAGCTGGAGAAAGTGAAATTCCATCATTTTTATGAGTTTGCAAATTAGTGTTTACAGGCAATTTGCAATAGAATAGGGGAAGTGAGGAAGACAAATTTTACTCCTAATGTAAATCCAACTAGTGAAATAATGGGAATATTTAAACCCAGTCACTAGCCGGCTCACTGGTGTCTCATGCCTGCCATCCTAGCTCTAGAAGTGGAGCAGTGGCTCCAAGTGGTAGAGCACCAGCTTTTTAGTGAAAAAAATATGAGCACACACAAAAGAAGAAACAGAAAGTTTGCAGAAAAGCACATTACCCTGGGCCAAAAGAGAAATTCACACTCTGAAGCCAATTTTAACAAATGCTGCAAAAACAGGAGAGGATTATATATAGGAGAAAGATGTGCTAATCAGTTTGGCCATGGAGAATTGAACTTTAAGGGTAGTCATGGTGTCATTCTGAGGTTTGAAAAGGAGGCAAGCTTTAGGAGCACTGATTAGCCGAAGCAGACAGGCACCGAGGTAGCCTTGAACTTCAAGATAAATGTATCTCGCAGGTAGCTCAGGCCTGTAATCCTAGCTACTCAGGAGGCAGCCAGGCTGGGCAGCACAGTCCGTGAGGCTCATCTCCCGTAAACTAATTATAAAAAGCCGGAAGTGGCGCTGTGCGTGTGTGTGTGTGTGTGTGTGTGTGTGTGTGTGTGTGTGTGTGTGTGTGTTCGTAGATGAAAGACAGCAAGCCGACCCTTTAGGGTTCTGGTCCAGGACCCACGCTCGCGCCAAAGTTCGGGCAGTCCCTCGTATATCTCGCGATATTTCCGCACCGCTCCAGACCCTCCTCCTCCCTCCACTTCTGGGCGGGCGGGAACACTCTTGGAAGTGACTGGCGCGCTCCGCGGTATTCGCCTGTCGGAAGTGACGTCAACACCCAGAATCCTCGCGGAGAGGCGCGCACTTGCGCTTCCTGCGCAGCCCAGTGTGGAACGCGTGGTATCGCACAGCGGTTGTCGGCGGGCCGGACAGCGTCGCTGCTCCCCGCGGGGGCCTGGCGGCGTTTTGCGGCTGGACGGTTGTGTTTTGAAAGGCCTCTGGTCGGGCCGCGCGGGGCCCTCGCCGACCCTCACCATGTTGGTGCTGTTTGAGACGTCCGTTGGCTACGCCATCTTTAAGGTAGGTGGGCTGTTGAGCCGCATTTGGAAGAACTCTGGTGCTGAGCAGGCGACGGGAGGTAAAGACACTGAGGAAGGGGCTCAAACGACTCTGGATCTTGTGGGTAGTTTTTAAAGCCTCCAAGGCTCGGAAAAGGAGTGAAAAGCCCGAGAGCTCGGTGAACACGTGGTCCCGCCATTTGGGGGGCCTACCCGTCCTGTTCCGAAGGCTTGATCGGGTTGAAGAGATGGGCAGGAGTCGTATTAAAGCGTTCCGCAGATGACGGTGTGGAGTGGGGGTTTTAGTTTGGCTTTTACGGTGCTGGTGCTGGAGCCCAGGCCCTGGCACGTGCTTGGCTTGTGCTGTCACTGAACGCCCCACGTGCCTAGGCGCAGATTTTAAATGTGAGTGTGCTTGGGAGTGAGCGGAAGCTGATATAATTTGTGCTCGTTACTGCACGGAGACTAGATTGCGAGAAGGCAAGAAAAGGATGTATTTGGCATGATGAGGTTGCTTGGATTCAAGTCGTGGAGGGAAACATGTTGAAAGTAGAAATGACTTGACTGCTGAAGGGTTAAATGAGCCTTTTTTTTTTTTTTTAGTTTTAAGGAACATGCTTAATGACGAAGGGTTTTGGGCACTCAGGGTTTCCAGTTTCTGCTGTGAGGCATGCTTCTAATGGTGTAGTGATGAAATTGAGTAAATCGGGTAGTTCATCGTTTTTAAGTTTTTGGGGGAAAGCTGCTGGTGTTAGGAAATTGGGGCAGGGTTTCTTTTTTTGTTGTTTATTTTAAAAAATTGTTATGGCCAGGCGCCGGTGCCTCACGCCTATAAACGTAGCTACTCAGGAGGCTGAGATCTGAGGATCCGGTTCAAAGCCAGCCCGGGCAGGAAAGTCTGAGACTCTTCAATTAACCACCAGAAAACCGGAAGTGGCGCTGTGGCTCAAGTGGTAGAGCGCTAGCCTTGAGCCGAAGAGCTCAGGACTGTGCCCAGAACCGAGTACAAGCCCCATAACAGACAAAAAAAAAAAACCCCAAACCTTTCTTTACCATGGGAATAAGGCTTAATGGTAGAGTGCTTGCCTACCATGTAGAAGCCCTGGGTTCCTTTTCCCCAGCGCCAAAAAGCTGAAAGTGGCGCAAGGGTTCAAGTGGTAAGCCTTGAGCAAAAGAAGCTCAGGGATAGTGCCCAGACTCTGAGTTCAAATCCCAGGCCTGGGAAAGAAAAATGTTAACAAAGGTGATATTCAGAGGGGTTGGGTAATAAGTACACTTATTTTTTCATGTCACCCCTTCCCTTGCACTCTCCCAGTTTGGGTTTTTTTGTTTGTTTTTGGTGGTGGTTGTGGGGCTTGAACTCTGGGCCTGGTCACTGTTTCAAGGCAAGTGCTCTACCACTTAAGCCAACAACACCACTTCCGGTTTTCTGGTGGTTTATTGGTGATAAGTCTCACAGACTTTCTTGCCCGGCCTGGCTTTGAACCAGGATCTTCAGTTTTCAGCCTCCTGCGTAGCTACCTTTACAGGCATGAGCCACCAGCACCAGGCTTCTCCCAGATTTTCCCTCCCATCCCCACACGAAAGTTGTTTAGTTCATTTCAGCATAATGCCTAGTGGGCACCACTGCTACAACTGTTCACCCATTTTTGTGCCCCCATTTAGGCTCCCAAAGACAGATAATTGTTTTTTTTTTGTTTTGTTTTGTCCATCATGGGACTTGAACTCTGGGCCTAGGTGCTGTCCCTCAGTTCTTCAGCTCAAGGCAAGCACTCTACCACTTGAGCCACAGCGCCACTTCTGGCTTTTTGGTGGTTAATTGGAGAAGCTAACAGATTTAACTGCTTGGGCTGGCTTCAAACCTCTATAGAGCTTAGCCTTCTGAGTAGCTAGGATTGACTATACTATTATGTGTCCAGTCAGGCGCTGGTGGCTCACACCTGTAACCCTTGCTACTCAGCAGGCTGAGATCTAAGGGCCTTGGTTCAAAGCCAGGCAGGAAAGTCTACTAGAAAACTGGAAGTGGTGCTGTAGCTGAGATTGTGGAAGAGCTTAGGTACAGTGCCCAGGCCTGGAGTTCAAGCCCCATGACTGACAAAAAAAAAAATGTAACCATGTATACCTAAAATATGTTTAGGGGGAAAAAAACTTAAAATATTTTCTTGTAGGTTCTGAATGAGAAGAAACTTCAGGAGGTTGATAGCTTGTGGAAAGAATTTGAAACTCCAGAGAAAGCAAATAAAATGTAAGTAATTTTCAAACTTAAGTTGTTTTTTTACTTTCCCCTCTGATTTGTGTATGCTATATTCTGGTTTTTGTTTTGAAATGTTTTGTTTTGAAACTTTTTTCTTTTTTTTTTTTCTTCAAGTAACATGGGCCATCTGAACTAACTTGTATTAGCGCAAACTAGAGAGGGCAGCTCCTTAAAATATTTTATAGAATATTTGAAATCACAATTGTGAATTAAGTATAAACTTAATGCAAACCATGGAAGTGTAATTGATTTATTGTTTAAATTATTTTATCGCATATTTTTGATACTCTACCTTCAGAGGTGGGTTTTGTGTGTGTGTGTGTGTGTGTTTAATATTGGTTGTGGGGCTTGAACTGCAGGCCTAAGCACTGTCCCTGAGCTTTTTACTCAGGGTTAACACTCTACCACTTTGAGCCACAGTACTGCTTGCAGATTTGTGATAGATAATTGGAGATGAGAGTGTCATGGACTTTCCTGCCTGCATTTGTTTTGTTTGGGGTTTTTTTTTTTAACTGTATGTTTTTGTCTTTTCTTTTTTGGTACTGGGGATCGAACCCAGGACGTTGCACTTTGCTAGGCAAGCGCTTTGCCACTGAGCTATATCCCAGCCCCCTGCATTTGTTTTGAACTTAGATCCTCAGATATAAGTCTCCTGAGTCAATAGGATTACAGGCATGAGCCACCAGCACCCAGCTTCACAGTACCTTTTTTTTTTTTGTCAGTCGTGGGGCTTGAACTCGGCTTGGGTGTTATCCCTGAGCTCTTCACCTCAAGGCTAGTGCTCTACTACTTGAGCCACAGCACCAGCTTTTTCTGTTTTATGTGGTGCTGAGGGATAGAACCTAGGGCCTCATGCACGCAAGGCAAGCACTCTACCACTTATTTTGGTGTCTGTGTTTATATGAATATTGGGAGACATAAGTAAATGTGACTTTAGAAATGTTGGCAGGGTAGGAAAGAACAAGATGAAATTGTTACTTTTTTCCTTAAATCTTTGGCAACTATACAGCATGTTTCCTTGCCCAGTGAAAGAATCTAGTTTAGACAACACTAGTTTAGGCAAATAGAGGACTACTGTTTCTTAAAGAGTTAAATGGTTTTCTGGATTAATCTGGTTAATTGTTGTCAATGATGTATTCCTGTTGGAACTGAATTTAAGTGATCTGACTCAAAAATTCGTCACTACCACTGAGACAACAATAAATTAACTATTTCTGCATTTCTTTTTTGGGGGGAGAGGGGTCTGGCCGTGGAGCCTGAACTCTGGGCCTGGGCACTGTCCCTCAGCTCTTCAGCTCAAGGCTAGTGCTCTACTACTTGAGCCACATCACCACTTCTGGCTTTTTTCTTTTTGCTTATGTGGTGCTGAGGAATCCAACCCAGGGCCTCATGCATGCAAGGCAAGCGCTCAACCACTGAGCCACCTTCCCAGGGGCACTGTCCTTCAGCTCAAGGCTAGCACTCTATCACTTGAGCTACAGTGCCACTTCCAGTTTTCTGGTGGTTTATTGGAGATAAGAGTTTCACAGACTTTCTTGCCTGGGCTGGCTTTGAACTGTGATCCTCAGATCTCAGCCTCCTGAGTAGCTAGGATTACAGGCATGAGCCACCAGCACCCAGCATGCACCCTGATTTTCAATTGCAGGCAGGTTTCTTTTATTAATATATAGTAGAAACACTCAACATTTCTTTACCAGCTGTGTAACTTTTGGAAGATCATTGTGCCATGCATAACAACTTTTCTTTTTTTACATTTTAGAGTAAAGCTAAAACATTTTGAGAAATTTCAGGATACAGCAGAAGCATTAGCAGGTAAAGTAACAGATTAGATGTGATGCTTTTTTTTTCTCTATTTTAAAATCTTGCTGATTTCTTTTCCTTATTTACAAACATAGTTGCCTGAGTTAACCTTACTCAATGTTGTCAATGATGCATTCTCATTAAAAACTGAATTTAAGTGATAACAACTCATTCGTCACTACCACTGAGACAACATTTGAGTTAGCTTTTTTCACCATAGGGCTGGTTCCCCCCACAATGTGATGAGAGGTGAGAAGTGATTAAGTTGATCTCCCTGTGGATACCAACAGCATAATGCTGAAGCACAGTTCAGTAAAAGCTGTCCTACAGAGGACCAAGGTAATGTGGTCAAGTACACAGCTCTGATAATTTTAGTCGAAGGGTAAGGTTGAGAATAGCCAGGATTCACAGTTGAAGAAATAATAACTAATATAAAGCTCTCTGGGAGTATAGTATACATTTTTAGTTCAGAAAAGCACATTAATATTACCAAAATGGAGGGCTGGGAAGGTGGCTCAGTGGTAGAGCGCTTGCCTTGCATGCCCGAGGCCCTGGGTTGGATTCCTCAGCACCACATAAGCAAAAAGAAAAAAGCCGGAAGTGGTGCTGTGGCTCAAGTAGTAGAGCACTAGCCTTGAGCTGAAGAGCTGAGGCACAGCGCCCAGGCCCAGAGTTCAGGCCCCATGACCGGACCCAAAAAAATAAATTACCAAAATGGTAGGAAAGCTAGTAGAAGAGTTTGGATTTTTTTTTTAAACACACAAACTAAGGGAGGGGCATAGGAGTTTTGTTTATATAAAGGAGCATCATCTTCACACACTTCAGTGATTTAGAGGAATAGATGATTTAAATATCCTTCAACTAGACTTCATGATAGGCCAACATAAAATTATAGGGTTTGCCAACAAGAAGTGACTTGAATATGCTTGATTATGTGTATATCAAAATGGGATGGGGAGATAAATTCTGTGTCACAAATCAGCCAGTCAGTTACGCAGGGCACTGGTGGCTCATGCCTGTAATCCTAGCTACTTAGGAGATTGAGAGCTGAGGATCACAGTTCAAAGCCAACCAGGGCAGGAAAGTCTTTGAGACACTTTTTTTGGGGGGGGGGGGGTCAGTCGTGGGGCTTGAAATCTGTGTGTCAGCGCTGTCCCTGTGCTTCAGCTCAAGACGAACACTCTACCACTTGAGCCACAGTGCCACTTCCAGCTTTTTTTTTTCTGCTTAGGTGGTGCTGGGGAGTCAAATCCAGGGCCTCATGCATGCAAGGCAAGCACTCTACCACTGAGCCACCTTCCCAGCCCTACAAATGATTTTTTTTGGGGGGGGGGTCAGTGGTGGGGCTTGAACTCGGGGCTTGGGCACTGTCCCTGCATTCTTCAGACCAAGGCAAACACTACCACTTGAGCCACAGTGCCACTTCCGGTTTTCTAGTGGTTTATTGGAGATAAGAGTCTCATGGACTCTCCTGCCAGGACTGGCTTTGAACCGAGATCCTCAGATCTCAGCCTCCTGAGTAGCTAGGTGCCTGGCTAACAAATGATTTTTGTTAATAAACTGTAGGGAGAATGTGCATGATGCTCAGTATGAAAACTGGGGATCCATTTAACTATGTTAGACTGGTATCCTTGCAGAGGATTAAGCAATGGGGCCAGCTTGTTTTTTTTTTTATTATAATTTTTTATTGAGATTAAGTGACTACATAAATTTCACAAGTTTCACAGTATTGTAGGATTGTGATACTTAAAGTCAGAAACACATTTTAACCTTCACAGGGCAAATTGTTATCTTGGTCTATAAAGTCTGTGAATTCTAGAAGCTTTGATAATACAACTATTTAGTCCATGTTGGGTGATACATACATTTCTTTCCTTTTGTGTAGTGTTTGCTGTTCCCTCCTTCCCTGTCTTCGCTTATTTTTTATTTTATTACTAAGTAGTTGTGCAAAATTTAGCATTCCCTAAGTTGGGTTATGAGTACAGTGCTTTTTAAAAATTATTTTATTGTTGTAAAGGTGAGGTACAGAGGGATTATAATTAATGCGTCAGGTGATGAGCACATTTTCTTTGTGCAGTATCTTTTGTTTCCTCACAATGCTTCTTGATCATTCTTGATCATTCTCCCATTTTTTTACCTCCCATCCCTACCCTCAAGTTACATACTTCAGTTTATACATAGTGTACTTGAATATAATGAATGTATTTGTACTCCTCCCCGTCCCAAATGTGTTTGATTTTTGGTATTTATTAGTTGCTTAGAGGAGTTACAGAGTATAACATTCTTTTGGGGGGCGGGGGTGTAGATCTTGAACTCTGGGCCTGGATGCTGTCCCTGAGCTCTTCAGTTCAAGGCTAGTGCTCTACCACTTGAGCTACAGTGCCATTTCAGTTTTCTGTGGTTAATTGGAAATGAGTCTTAGGGACTTTCCTACCCGGGATGGTCTTGAAGGGTGATCCTCAGATCTCAGCCTCCTGAGTAGCTAAGATTACAGGTGTGAGCCACACACACCCGGAAAATATATCATTCTTTAGTTTTGTGTATATTTGCGTAAAACTCTGTACATAATGTTCATAATTTAGAATCCAGCTTCCATATAGGAGAGAAAACATGTTCTGTATGTCTTTGTGGCTGACTTCATTTAACATAATTTTTCTAGGCCTACCCATTTTCCTGCAAATGACAGTATTATTCTTTTAATCAATGAGTAAAAGTCTGTTGTGTATATGTACCACTTTGATTGACCCACTCATACATTGTAGAGCTTCTGGCTGTTTCCTTCACTTGGCTCTTGTGAATAGTGAAGCAATGAACATGGATGTGCATGTATCTTTACCATATCCTAATTAGTAATGTTCTAGATAAATGTCCAAGAGTGAGTATTCCTGGATCAGAGGGTAGTTCTATATTGAGTTTATTTTATTTTATGTTGAGTTTTTTGAGGAATCTCCAACCTACCTTCCAAAGTAGCTGCACTAGTTTATATTCCCACCAACAGTGTAATAGGGTTCCCTCTTCCAGCTCCTCCAGCATTTGATGGCTAATCTTACTGGGGTGACATGGAATCACAATGTTTTGATTTGCATTTCCTCATGTGGAGTCTATTTAGCTCTTTTTCCATTTATTGGGGTATTAATTGGAGTAATTTCTTGGCTCCTTGAATATTCTGGATATTAGGCCCCTCTCATTTTGATATACATAATTATTTTCAAGGCTCTTGTTGGTAGAGCTAAAGATCTCTCATTCTGTAGGCTGCCTTTTTTAGCTTAGTAACTATCCTTTGCTATGCAGAAACTTGGGTTGAGTCTCATATTTGCCAAGCCCCTGGAACTATCCTCAGAAAGTTCCTGCCTATGACAATAAGTTTGAATGTTTTTCCTACTCTATAATAGTTTCAAGGTTTCAGGTCTGTTGTTGAGGTCTATGATCCATTTTTAATTGATCTTAGTACAAGGTGGCAGGGATCAGTTTGTCTTTTTTTTTTTTTTTTGGGTCCGGTTGTAGGGCCTGAACTCTGGGCCTGGGTGCTGTCCCTCAGCTCTTCAGCTCAAGACTAGCACTTTTACCTCTTGAGCCACAGCGCCACTTCCGGCTTTTTTCTTTTTGCTTATGTGGTGCTGGGGAATCAAACCCAGGGCCTCATGCATTGCAAGGCAAGCGCTCTACCACTGAGCTACCTTCCCAGCCCTCAGTTTCAGTCTTTACATATATGGATGTCCAGTTTTCCAACACTTATTTGTTGAAGAGGCTGTCTCATTTCCAACATGTATTTTTTTGCCAGTTTATTTTTATATAAATGGTAGGGCTCCTTCATCAACACATCCGTAAACAGCCTCTTAACTGCTATAAGCATAACTATAGTAATGTACAGGAGAATTATTTTGGATAAACTTGGTAAAATCTCATGCAAGACTGAATTAGCTCTCTTCCAACTCTAGGGGGCATTGTTGCCATAGATAGTGGTATAGCCAACTCCTGGATTTGTGAAGCATTGCTGCATTCCTTGCTCCAAGTAGCCTCTTCTGGACTGACTTTGTGCCAAAAAAAATGTGTCAGTAAATACTTGAGAAAAATCAACTTTAAAGAGGAAAGACATTTTGCGTCAAAATTTTGAAGATTCTATTTGTGTGGCTGCTCAACTTGGTTGGTTTTGGGACCTGTGGTAAAGCTAAACCTCATTGTAGAAAGTATGTGATAGAACCAGGGTGCTCAACTCATGCAGGAGAAGAAAAAGGTCAAGGGCCTAGTGTGCCCTTCAAGGTCACACTTCAGTGACTAAACTTCCCTCTACCAGGTCCATCTCCTGACAGTGTAACAGCTTTGGATGGAACTGTTCACAAATGAGGCTTTGGGGGATATTATGCTCCAAACTTTGATCAGTTCTTATTAAACATTAAATAGATAAGCCTGTTTGCCTGTGCACAAACCACATTTACTTATTTATTGCACATCCTTTATTGTGACTAAGTAATTACATAATTTCACAAATTTCACAGTATTGTGGGATAGTGATGCTTAAAGTCACAAACACATTCTAACTTTCATGGGGCAAATTGTCTAAGTTTATGAGTTCTATGAGCTTTGACAATACAGTTATTTCTCCCACATTTGGTAATATGTACATTTCTTTACTTTTGCATAGCATCAACTGTTTCCTCTTTCCCTCCCTCCCATCGCTGCCATTGAGTTGCTTAGTTCATTTTGATCAATGTCCAGTACAGCTGATGGGTCCCACTGTTATATGTTTTTCCCTGATTCCTTTTAGTTTTGTGCCCTCCTCCTAGTTTCCCTTTGGTGTGCACATATATACCATATATGTGATCAGCTGCATGGGGTTATTTAGTAGTGAATCGACCAGATGAGTAGGGGTCCTTTGTTTCTCAAGTCTTGTTAACTGTCGTATCACCTTATGTTTTTGGATTTAACATCCACTTATCAGGGAGACCATGCGTCATCTGTCTCCTTGCTCTTGCCTTACTTCATTCAACATGATTTTTTCTAGTTCCATGTATTTTCCTGCAAATGCCATTATTTTGTCCTTTCTAATGGCTGCATAATATTCCATTGAAAACACATTTATTTTTAATTTTTGTTGGTTGTAGTTCTTGAATTCAGGGCCTGGGCTCTGTTCCTGAGCTCTTTTGCTCAAGTCTAGCACTTTCCTACACAGTGCCACTTCTGGTTTTTGGTGATTAATTAGAGATAAGAGTCTCACAGCCTTTTCTGTCTGGGCTGGCTTTGAACCAGTATCTGGCTACAAAACACATTTTTAATATTAATAGCTGATGGATCGATCACACAGTGGTACTCAGAATTATTCTTTTTAAAAATGGTTACTTAATCTTTTGATACAGTTATGAGGTAGGTTTTTATTTTTATTCCTTTTTTTTTTTTTCTGTTTATCTGGTATTCGGTCTTGAACTCAGCTTCAATTCTTGCTTTGCTTTTTCTATGAAAGCTGGTGTAAGACGGGCCTTAGTGGCTCACACCCAGGAGGCTGAGATCTGAGGATAGTGGTTCATGGCCAGCCCAGACAGAAATTAAAACCACCTGCGTGAGTGCCTTGAGCAAAAAGCCCAGAGGGGTGGCGTAGCGTAGCTAGTGCTCTACTATTTAAGCTATGCCTCCAGTCCAGCATTTTATTAGTTACTTGGAGATGATATGCCTAAGCTGGCTTCAGATCTCAGCCTCCGTCTCCAGATTTCAGCTAACTTTCAGTGCTGCTACAAGCATGAGCTATCTGTTTTTGGTGCCAGTCCTGGTGCTTGAACTAGGGCCTGGAGTCAGCGCTTTATCTTTTTCACTCAAGGCTAGAGCTACTGCTCCACTTCTAGATTTTTGGTGCTTAATTAGAGATAAGAGTCACAGACATTCCTGCCTGGACTGTCTTCAAACTGTGATCCTCAGATTTTCAGCTTCCTGAGTAGCTAGAATTATAGTGTGAGCTCCCAGTGCCTGGGTAGGCAATTGTTTGTAATGGAGGAATTTTTTTGTTTTTTGTTTAAATTAATTTTATTTTATTTGAGAACATACTGTACAGAGGAGTTACAATTACATGGGCAGGATAATGCATACATTTCTTACCAAGCATTGCAGCCTCCTCCTTTGTTTACCCTTCACCTCCCTTCCCAGCCTCCCCCCTCCCCCTCACCCAATCCTTCCCCCCCCCCCCCCCCCCACCGACATTGTAAAGCTCGTTTTTGACAATGACATTTTGTGCTTCTCATTGTTGCAACAGGTCCACCTGAATCCTTAAACGACTTGTTTGTCCCCATCTCCTCCACAAGTTATACTGACATCAAATATAGTGAAAGCGGGGGTTACACTGTGGGGGAGAATTTTTTTGTTTTTATTTTTATTTCTTTTGGTGCTAGAGATCAGACTCCGAACTTAGCATATTGTAGGCAAACCTACCATTGAGTTAGGTTTCTTAGCCTAGAGCTTTAAAACTCTGAAAAGGGAGCTGGGAAGGTGGCTCAGTGGTAGAGTGCTTGCCTTGCATGCATGAAACCCTGGGTTTGATTCCTCAGCACCACATAAGCAAAAAGAAAAAAGAAGTGGTGCTGTGGCTCAAGTGGTAGAGCACTAGCCTTGAGCTGAAGAGCTGAGGGACAGCGCCCAGGCCCAGAGTTCAGGCCCCATGACTGGACCCCCCCCTCCCCCCCCCCCCCCCCCCAAAAAAAAAAAGGAAGACTGTTGTAAGGAATCAATATATTAAATGTTAAGAGTTTAGAACTGAATATCTGGGCATAGTGATACACCTATAATTTCAGCAAAGAGGATTGCAAATTCCAGGTCAGCAAGACCCTCTGCTAGGAAGGAAGAAACAACATAGCAAAAGTAACATGAATCCTAGCAGCTTATATATGTAGATACTTGCAAGAGTTGTGTTATAGCCAGATGCCTCTGCCCTCACGTTTAATGTTCCCAGGTAACATAGAGTAAACTTGTAATTCAAGTGGCTAGAACTGGGATTAGGAGCCAGAGTCAGTACCTGGATCATATTGCAACGTGTTTTAATATAGAATAGTGACAAACCTCCTGCCATGGATATTTAACCTCATGCAAGTGCAGGGAGGCATTAGTTCTATTTGAGTTTTGAAAACAAGCAAGTTTTTCATTGCAAAGTGTTTATATCAAAGGCTGGTGGATTCAATATTAGTAGAGAAAATGTCATATATTGTAGCCGTCTTCAGATCTCAGCTTCCTTAGTAGCTAGGACTCTTTAATTGAGTGCCCAGTTGTGCTATCAGTTTTGATGTGATTGTTACATACACTGAGCATTTTGTTTCAGAAGAGATGTTCAATTGAAGCCTTTGAAAGGAAATACTTGTCTTACTGTAAATTTTAAATAAGATAAGCTCTTAGTTAAAATTAAGTTGGTGAGTAAATCTTTTATCTTTTCCTTCTTCCTAAAAAGCATTCACAGCCCTCATGGAGGGCAAAATGAATAAGCAGCTGAAGAAAGTTTTGAAGAAAATTGTAAAAGAAGCCCATGAACCTCTGGCAGTGGCTGATGCTAAACTGGGAGGGGTTATAAAGGTAAAATCTGGGGCTGTGGAAATTCAGTGGTAAAAGTTAATTCATTTATTATTATATGCTTATTAGTAAGATCTCATACAGCAAAGTAACTACAAATCTCAACCTTTACAATTTGTCTAAAGTCCTCACTTATACTTGGTCTTTGTTCGACTAAGCCATTAATAATCAATTCACACCAGAATTGGCAGAACCAAGCACATACAGATGTGTGTAGAAAATACAGATGAACAAAGACATAAACATTATTACCTTTAACCCTGTTCCTTATATAATCTGCTAATACTGTGTATTTTCTGCCATAATTTTAGCCATATTTTTCTTTTAGTAAAGATGTATTTATAGAGTGTATAATATTACATATATATTTGGGACTATTTAAGGAATACTAATATTTTTTTCTTTTGTTTTTGTTTTTTTGTTTTTTTGGGTCCGGTCATGGGGCTTGAACTCTGGGCCTGGGCACTGTCCCTCAGCTCTTCAGCTTAAGGCTAGCGCTCTACCACTTGAGGCACAGCGCCACTTCTGGCTTTTTTCTTTTTGCTTATGTGGTGCTGAGGAATCGAACCCAGGGCCTCAGGCATGCAAGGCAAGCGCTCTATCACTGAGCCACCTTCCCAGCTCCGGAATACTAATATTTATGGCCTCATGGATTGGGACTTTTTTGGGGGGGGGGGGTCCGGTCGTGGGGCCTGAACTCTGGGCCTGGGCGCTGTCCCTCAGCTCTTCAGCTCAAGGCTAGCGCTCTACCACTTGAGCCACAGTGCCACTTCCGGCTTTTTTCTTTTTGCTTATGTGGTGCTGAGGAATTGAACCCAGGGCCTCAGGCATGCAAGGCAAGCGCTCTACCACTGAGCCACCTTCCCAGCCCCTGGATTGGGACTTTTGAGTAAGTCTTTTAGTGTGTTAAATTACCCTTAGTTACAATATTATATAATGTGACGTAGCAGAAGCCCCTCTCAGTCCAGCTCACAGAAGTAAAACTAGGTGAAATTTGGTATTCATGTTGTTTTTTGCTTCTAGGAAGGTTTCAGATTTGACTTACAGCAACAATGTACCTAAATTTTTTTTGTTTTTTGTTGTTGTTGTTTTTCTATTGATTCTTTTGTGTGTGTGCTGGTGTTAGGACTTGAATTCAGGATCTGGACACTGCCCTTGAGCTTCTTTTTTGTTCGAGGCTAGCACTCTACCACTTGAGCTACAATGCCACTTCCAGCCTTTTCTGTTTATGTAGTACTAAGGAATCGAACCCAGGGCTTCATGTGTGCCAGGCAAGCACTCAACCACTAAACCACATTCCCATCCCCTGAGCTTCTTTTGCTCAAGGCTAGCACTCTAACACTTGAGCCATAGCTCTACTTCTGGATTTTTTGTGCTATTAACTGGAGATATGACTCACAGACTTTTCCTGCCTGGCCTGGCTTTGACCTGAGATTTTAAGATCTCAGCTTCCACCTGGTGCTTGTGGCTCACCCTCTATAATCCTAGCTACTCAGAAGACTTGAGATCTGAGGATCACAGTTCAAAGCCAGCCCGGGCAGGAAAGTCCGTGAGACTCTTATCCAATAAACGACTAGCAAACTGGAAGTAGCATTGTGACTCAAGTGGTAGAACACTTGCCTTATCTGAAAAACTGAGGGAGAGCTCCCAGGCCCAGAAGTTCATGCCCCACTACCATCAACAACAAAAAAAATCTCAACCTCTTGAGTAGCTAGGATTATAGGCATGCCAGACTTATTTAAGTTTTATTTTATTTTATTTTTTATTTTTTTAAAAACGTGTGCAGCTCCACAGGAGCTTCATTCAAACTTGCCGCCAAGGCTCCGCCCCTGGCGCGGAGCTACGCATGGGGACATCCCCAGCAAGGCCTCTAAGTTTTATTTTTTACTTTCGTTTATTTACTTATTTTTTTGTTGGTCATTTTTCGTTTATTGGAGACTTTTATCTCCAATAAACCACTAGAAAACCAGAAGTGGTGCTGTGGCTCAAGTGGTAGAGTACTCTTCCTTGAGCTGAAGATTACATGGACAGCGCCCAAGCCGAGTTCAAGCCCACGACCGCGCCCCCCTTCCCCCCCCCCCCCCAAAAAAAAAAAAAAAAGTCTTATAGACTCCTGCCGGGGCTGGCTTTAAACCATGATCCTCAGCTTTCAGTCTCCTGAGTTGCTAGGATTACAGGCGTGAGCCACTGGCACGGGCCTCTTAAGTTTTTTGTTTTTTTTTAATTCACATTTAAGTAGTTGTACAAAGAAGTTTCACATGTCAGGTTATGAGTACAGTGCAGCTTGATCAGTGGCACTCATTCTATCATTCTTCCCCGTATTCCTCTCCTATCCCTATCCTTGTTGCATAGTTCAGTTTCTAAGTGTTCTTTATTTTATTTTATTTTTTTTGTGGGGGGGGGACCCGGTCGTGGGGCCTGAACTCTGGGCCTGTGTGCTATCCCTCAGCTGTTCAGCTCAAGGCTAGTGCTCTACCACTTGAGCCACAGCGCCACTTCCAGGGCCTCAGGCATGCAAGGCAAGCGCTCTACCACTGATCCATCTTCCCAGCCCTCTAAGTGTTCTTTAAAAGACAGTAGAGGGCTGAGTAGGTGGCTTAGTGGCCGAGCGCTTGTCTTGCATGCCTGAGGCCCTGGGTTTGATTCCTTAGCACCACATAAGCAGAAAAGGCCAAAAGTGGCTCTGTAGCTCAAGTGGTAGAACGCTAGCCTTGAGCTGAAGACCTGAGAGACAGTGCCTACTGAGGCCCAGAGTTCAGGCCCCACGACTAACAAAAAAAAAATAAGATAATAGAAATTTATAGTTTGAGAAGTATCAATATTTTAATATGCAAAATAATTTTAAGAAAACCATTTTTCATTTAATAAAAATGTTTTGTAGGAAAAGCTGAATCTGAGTTGTATCCATAGTCCTGTTGTTAATGAACTTATGAGAGGAATCCGATCACAAATGGATGGATTAATCCCAGGGGTAGAGCCACGAGAAATGTCAGCCATGTGTCTTGGATTGGCCCACAGGTGAGAAAATCAAGTTTTTTTTAATAGCTTGTATAATAATGCTATGAAGATGATCATATTGTTATGCAGAAACTGGTGCTGAAGATGAATTGTTTCACTCTGGTTTTTAGTAAACATTTAGAATTAGGCTAAAATTGTCTGGCACTAGTGGCTCACACTTACAGTCCTAGCTACTCACAAGGCTGAGATCAGAGGTTTGAGGTTTGAGCCAGCTGTGGCAAGAAAGTCTTAGGGCACACACTCCTCTTCCAATTAGTCATCAGACTTGCCATATTGAAAGTGTGGCTCAAAGGGATAGTGCGCCAGCCATTAGTAGAAAAATCTAAATGAGTACTAGCAAGAAAGAGGAGTGCAAAATGAAGTATATTAAACCTAATGTGTTTATCAAGAGTTTCCTTAAACGTGCTATGCTATGGGCAGAGGACTGACATTCTGTGGAATTACACTAAAAATTGCATTTTGTAAAGACAGTAGAAGTATTATGGTTAGACTACTTAGTACCCTAAGCAACTCTGTAACCAAGAGCACTATTAAAAATAACAAAAAATGGTTCTAATTAACACAGTTTGAGCTAGGTATGCCTCTAATCTAGCAATCAGGAAGCCAATGCAAGATTTCCTAGTTTCTTAAACTAGGGTAAAAGTGCCATTGTTTCCTAAAATTAAAGAGCAAGCATACATTGGTTAACTACAGTAAACAAAAGTCTGCATGTCTAAAGGTGAGTACAAGGTAATTAAATACTGACACTGTTGAGTGACAGAAAAGAAAGCAAAATATTCTAGGTTAATAAGAAGTCTTTTTTTTTTTTTTTTTTTTTGCACAGTTGTACGGCTTGAAACCATGGCCTAGATACTGCTCTGAGCATTTTTTAAACCACAGCTCTACTTCTGATTTTTAGGTGATGAATTAGAGATAAAGAGCCTCAGGTACTTTTCCTGCCTGGACTAGCTTTGAACTTGAGTCCTCAGATCTCACCCCCCCAGAATAGCTAGGATTACAGGTGTGAGCCACCATCACCTGGCTGTCAGAGTTTTGTTGTTTTTGCCAGTCCTAGGGCCTGAATGAACTCAGGATTGCCCTTGTCCCTTTGTGCTCAAGGCTACTGTTGCACCACTTGAGCCACTGCTCTACTTCCTGTGGGTATGTGTGGATGTGGCGGGGGGTGACTTAAGTCTCACAGACTTTCCTGCGTGGGTTGGGCTCAAACCACAAGGCTTGGGGCTACCACTTATGGTTTTTTCTTATTGGAGATGAGAGTCATGGATTTTCCTGCCTGGGCTGGCTTCAAACCATGATGTGATCCTCATCTAGCCTCCTGAGTAGCTAGAATTAAAGGCTGGCTTAAGAGTCATATTTTAGCTGTCAGAACAGGGAGGGATAAATTTAATATCAATTAGATAGGCCCAGAGTTCAAGCCCCAGAACCAACCAAAAAAAGAAACCTTTTGTTTTGGATGCTATGGTGCTAATTTTATTCTACCTTTTTCTCTCCAGCCTGTCTCGATACCGACTGAAATTTAGTGCTGATAAAGTAGACACGATGATTGTTCAAGCAATTTGTAAGTATAGTATATGACAAAATCTGATGTTTCTTGTTTTTTGATTTGCTACTATTGAGACTTGTTATTCTTCTTAATAAAAGAGAAAGATGAACTAGAACTTTAATAAGTGTAGAAGAGGGCTGGGAAAGTGCCTCAGTGGTAGAGTGCTTGCCTTGCATGCATGAGGCCCTGGAAGTGTAGAAGAAAACAGGGAAACTACCCATAAGTTGACTTGTTGGAATAATGTGAATCACATTATTAGTAATTTGGCTTTTTAATTTTTTTCTTTTTTGGTTGGTTGTGGGGCTTGAACTCTGGGCCAGAACACTGTCCCTCAGCTCTTCAGCTCAAGGCTAGTGCTCTAGTACTTGAGCCCCAGTGCGATTTCCAGTTTTCTAGTGGTTTATTGGAGATAAAAGTCTTACCGACTTTCCTGCCTGGGCTGGCTTTGAACCGTGATCCTCAGATCTCAGTCTCCTGAGCAGCTAGGATTACAGGCGTGAGCCACTGATGCCCCGTGGCTTTTTAATTTTTATCCCATGTCAAAGCATCACACTTTCACCATTATAATGTACTCAAAAGACTTGAAACTAGCATTCAGTCTCTTGTGCTACTATAGCCACACTCATAACAGTATCATGTACAGTAGCCAAAGATGGCAGAAAAAGTAATATTCATCAGTGTATGAATATATAAGCAAAAGCTTTGATTGTATCATAATAAAGTTTGCTAGGCAGACATTCATTGAAATGAAATTCTCATGCATACTACAATGTGGATAAACTTTGAAACAAACCAAACTGGGCCAGGCACAGCAGCTCTTTCCTATAATCTTATCTACTTAGGAAGCTGAGATCTGAGGAGTTAGGTCTGAAGTCAGCCCAGGCAGGAAAGTCTGTGAGACTCTTAGGTCCACTTAAAGCACCAAAAAAGCTGGAAGACCAGTGACTTCAAGTGCTAACCTTGAGCACTAAAGCTCAGGGACAGTGTCCGGGCCTGGAGTTCAGTCCCCAGAACTGGCAACAGAAAACCCAAGCTTATAACAAATGAAATATTCCTCTTCTGTGAGGAGGTACATAGATAGAATATGCAAATCTACATAGAGTAAAGGCAAATCTGTTAAATCTTAAATAATAAAACACATTTTCTTAATATACTTTTATTTCTGTTTTTTAATCTACTCTAGCCTTATTGGATGACTTGGATAAAGAACTGAACAACTACATTATGCGATGTAGAGAGTGGTATGGTTGGCATTTCCCTGAATTAGGAAAAATTATTTCAGATAATTTGACATACTGCAAGTGTTTACAAAAAGTTGGTAAGTATTTATTCTTCATAATTGGTTATAGCCCAAAACATGAATAATAGTAATTATTTCTCTGAGATTCTCAGGCACTCTGCCAATTGAAATACACCTCTAGTACAGCTAGTTAACTGAAGATAGAAAGTTTATATAGGTTTGGGAAATAAATCCATGTATGTCAAATGCATTTTAATTTTGGTTTTGATGACCTATCCAATAGGGAGCAAAGTTACCTAGTTTTCTTTTTCTTGCTTGGTTGGCTTTTGCTCATGGCTAGTTGCCATGGCTTGAGCCATCTTCCACATCCAACTTTTTGTTGATTTATTAGAATTAAGAATCTCATGGGTTTGTCTGTTGGATTTGTCTTATCTAATATACAACCTTCACATAAGGAAAACTAGTGGATTTATCTTGTTCACTTTGTTTTGTTTAGGCATCTTTTCATTGGCTCATGCTTCTTTTTCTTTTGACTATTTGATGGGTTTTATATTATTTGTTGAAGAATGATTCTCCCTCATCCTCTGCAAACATTGCATAGGTGATAGGAGGAACTATGCTTCTGCCACACTTTCTGAATTACTGCCGGAGGAAGTAGAAGCTGAAGTGAAAGCTGCTGCAGAGATATCTATGGGAACGGAGGTTTCTGAAGAAGATATTTGCAACATTCTGCATCTTTGCACACAGGTAAACTACACCTGTATAGAATTTGTTGTCTTTCCAGCTCTGTTATAATTGTCTGATGGCAATGATGATTTTTATGCTCTGTTCACCTGAAAGCAAATATGAGGGTATTCAGTCACTACCTCATCTGATGCCATCTTATGTGTCTGTGTAGTTGTGGGGGAATACAAAAGTTGAGTAATTTGTATGATTAGCATTATTGTCTGAATAGTGACCTAATAAAATTTACAGAACTATAAAAGCTAGCTATTCAAGGAGGCTGAGATTGGAGAATCCATCTTCAAAGCCAACCTCAGCAGACAAATCAGACTCCTCCATTTAACTACCAAAAAACAGAAGTGTGGCTCACGGTAGGGCCCCAAGCTTGAGCAGAGAAGCTTGGGAAACCATATGGCCCAGAGTTGAAGCCCCAGTAACGGCACCAAAAGGTAACATTTAAAAGTGTGACACGTTTGAATTTTATATTTATAGGCCATGATCTTTTATCTCAAAATTTAAAGATGTAGTTATCTAGTAATCCTAGAGAAGAGGAAAAAATAGAATTGTATGACTAACATACTATCTGTAGAAAATACTGTAAATGATTGTATACACTATCCTAATAAAATCCTCAGGATATTTTATAGGAAACAAACACCAAACAACTGTTTTCAAGTTGTTTTTATTGAAATAGGATCTCACTGTGTGCCTAGGCTGGCTTGAACATCTTAAGTTTAAATGATCCTCTGTCTGAGCCTTCTGAATAACTGGGACTGTAAGTTATGGCACCTAGTTGAGCTATTAGAATAATCCAGTGTTTTATTAGAGTTGAATTCTACACTGATTTTTAATTTTATTCCTTATATTAGGTGATTGAAATCTCTGAATATAGAACCCAGCTGTATGAATATTTGCAAAATCGAATGATGGCCATTGCACCTAATGTTACAGTTATGGTTGGAGAATTAGTTGGAGCACGACTTATTGCTCATGCAGGTAACAGTTTTGATGTAATATACAAGTGAATATTTGAAGTTTGGTGTTTTTAATCTTTCACTGTCCTTACTAAAGACTAAGGACCAAGTGTTCAATGATGATGTTTATTTGTTTGCCTGATTTCCCTTTGGATAATGAAGGCATCTTTAGTCACTACCTCTTCTGAGACACTTGTGCTCCACTGTCAAAATGGTAAAATTAGCTTTTTTTTTTTTTTTGGCTTGGATTGACTTCAAACCACAATTCTCAGTTCTCAGCCTCTTGAGTAGCTAGGATTAATATAATCAGCTTAACTTTTATTTTGTCATAGACATCTACCACACATACCTTTTGTTGTGTGAAGAGCCCCAAAGCACTTGGATTTTCAGGGTATTCAATACAAGATTCCTGTTATTGAGGCTATAGTATTATACTATATCTAATATTTATATGTTATCTAATATTTATACACAGCATTTTGAAATTAGGTAACCTGGACGTGTAATCTTTGTAACTGTTTTCTTTTGTAGGTTCTCTTTTGAATTTAGCTAAACATGCAGCTTCTACAGTTCAGATTCTTGGAGCAGAAAAGGCACTGTTTAGGGCCCTCAAGTCTAGGCGAGATACCCCTAAATATGGTCTCATCTATCATGCCTCACTAGTAGGCCAGACAAGTCCCAAAAACAAAGGAAAGGTGAGTTTTTCTGAAGTTGGGCTTCTTCTTTTTATATTAAAAAACCTTCACTTTGTTTTTATTCTGTAGTTAATTGAATATCTTACCTTTTTGTTGTCTGTTTTGGATTAGAAGATGAAAAAGGTTTTTTTTTTTTGCACCCTCAAATTTAGAAGAAATGGTTTGTCTTTCTACAAGCATGTGTCTGTGTTGTGTGTGTACATACCAGTATTGGGGCTTGAATGCAGGATCTAGGCACTCTCCTTTAGCATTTTCGCTCAAGGCTGGTGCTCTTTCACAGTAGTCACAGCTCCATTTCCAGCTTTTGCCTGAGCTGGCTTCCAACTGCAATCCTTAGATCTCAGCCTCTTGAGTGGCTACGGTTATACAAATGAGCCACCAGCACCATTTTCTTTTTCTTTTTTCTTTTTTTTTAATTTAATTTAATTTTATTTGAGAACATACTGTACAGAGGGGTTACAATTACATGGGCAGGATATTGCATACATTTCTTACCAAGCATTGCAGCCTCCTCCTTTGTTTACCCTTCACCTCCCTTCCCACCCTCCCCCCTCCACCCCACCCAATCATACCCCCCTCCCCTCCCACTCTGACATTGTAAAGCTGGTTTTGACATGACATTTTGTACTTCTCATTGTTGCAACAGGTCCACCTGAATCTTTAAACGACTTGTTTGTCCCCGTCTCCTCCACATGTTATACTGACATCAAATATAGTGAAAGCGGGGGTTACACTGTGGGGGAGGGACATACAAAGCAACAAAGAAATAATCTTATGAATTCGTTAGAAACACATGCATGAAAGAAACAAAAACATTAACCAGCACCATTTTCATAGTAGTTTATGGATGGTAAATGGTGTGTGTGTTTGAACTAAGGACCTACTAGACATACATTCTCAATTATTGGAATTGAATTACTTTCTAGTACTTAACCTGTGGCTGGTACACCTAATATTATATATAATAAAGATAATCTACTAACCACTTACCAGTTATCAAATAATAGCATCTACACTGGGCCAAATGCATAAGTAGACTTCACTGAATCCTTTAATAACTAGATGTAGAGATCTATTTTGTTAGTGGCAAAAGTGAGGTTTAGACAAATACAGATTCTGAAATTAAATAGATTTTAGTTCTTTCGTTTTCTTTGCTGGTCCCAGGGCTTGAAGTCAGGGCCTGGGTGCTATCTGCTAGCCTCGTTTTGTTCTAGGCTAGTGTTCTGCTACTTGAGCCCCAGGGCTACTTCTGGTTTTCTGGTTGTTAATTGGAGATAAGATTTTCAGACTTTTCTGCCCAAGCTGTCTTCAAACCATGATCCTCAAGTCAGCTTTCTGAGTAGCTAGGATTATAGGTTTGTGGCATTGGTGCCGAGCTTGGATTTCAGTTTTGTAAGATACATAAACTAATGGTTAAACAAAATTCATGGCATAGTACTGGAAATAAAATGAAACCAAAAGGGGCTGGATAGGTGGCTCAGTGGTAGAGTGCTTGCCTTGCATGCACTTGATTCCTCAGCACCACATAAGCAGAAAAAGCGCTAACCTTGAGCTGCTGAAGGGCTGGGGGACAGTGCCAGGCTTTGGGCACTGAAACCAAAAATATTTTAAGACTTACACTTAAACTCTGGACAACCTTGAGATAGAAAAATGAATACTAAGCCAGGCGCTGGTGGCTCACGCCTGTAATCCTAGCTACTCAGGAGGCTGAGATCTGAGGATCTTGGTTCAAAGCCAGCCTGGGCAGGAGAGACCGTGAGACTCCTATCTCCAATAAACCACCAGAAAACCGGAAGTGGCGCTGTAAGCTCAAGTGGTAGAGCGCTTGCCTTCAGCTGAAGAGCTGAGGGACAGCGCCCAGGCCGAGAGTTCAAGCCCCACGACCGACAAAAAGAAAGAAAGAAAGAAAATAAAAATGAATACTAAAACATGCTGGGCGCCGGTGGCTCACTCCTGTAAGCCTAATTACTCAGGAGGCTGAGATTTGAGGATTGCGGTTCAAAGCCAGCCCAGGCAAGAAAGTCTGTGAGACTCTTATTTCCAATAAACTACTAGAAAACAGGAAGTGACACTGTGGCTCAAGTGGTAGAGTGCTTGCCTTGAGTTTAAGAGTATAGGAATAGCACCCAGGCCCAGAGTTCAAGCTCCAGGACCAACCAAAAAAAAAAATCCTGATTTTAATGTCCTCAATAAGTCTTGATATGGTGATTATAGCTGCTGTATTGAGAGACTTTTCCAAATATAAAGGTTTGACTGCCTCGGAATTGATGCTTCCTGTTAGATTTCTCGGATGCTGGCAGCCAAAACCGCTTTGGCTATTCGTTATGATGCTTTTGGTGAAGATTCCAGTTCTGCTATGGGAGTTGAGAACAGAGCCAAATTAGAGGCCAGATTGAGAAGTTTGGAGGACAGAGGGGTAAGACCACATCCTGCTTATTACAGATTACTTGTCAAAAGGTCTTAAATGTGAGTAGTTTCATGAAGGTAGTAGCATAGTTTATTACTTTGTGGAAAACATTTTGTTATGTGTAATACATATTTTTGTACATTGTTAACAGCTTCTCTCATATTTAAAGTATGTTAAAATGTTTTGACATTAAGATATAACTATAGAGTAACAATTAAGTATTAGTAATTGTCATTCTTTTTAGATAAGAAAAATAAGTGGATCAGGAAAGGCGTTAGCAAGAGCAGAAAAATATGAACACAAAAGGTAAGTAAGTACATTTTAGAGAGCATGAACAGGTTTTCATTTGAATATTAATTACTGAGAGATTTTTATCAAAAAATACACAACTCTGTCTCATACTGGTAGTGGTAGCTCATGCCTATAATCCTGGCTACCAAGAAGGGCAAGATATAAAGCCAGATTCAAAGACAGCCTGGGTAGGAAAGTCTGTGAGACTCTTCTTTTTTTGGTCGGTCATGGAGCCTGAACGATGGGCTTGGGTGCTATCTCTCAGCTCTTTAGCTCAAGGCTAGCACCCTACCACTTGAGTCACAGATCCACTTCTGGCTTTTCCTATGATTGATTGAGATACATGGCTAGGATTATATGTGTGAGCCATCACCTCCTGGCTTATGACACTCATGCCCAATTAAACAGCAGAAAACCAGAATTAGCAATATGGCTCAACACTGTAGAGCACTAGCCTTGAGCAAAAAAGGCTCAGGGACAGCACCCAGGGCTTGAGTTCAGGTCCTACAACCAACCATAAAAAGCCAGAATTACAAATATGGTCCAGATGGAAGTGTGCCAGGCATAAACATAACAAAATTCTGAAACATTGAGTTCGTTTCAGTACTATCACACATAAAGACATATCCTTTACTGTCACAAAAGATTTGTGTGTATTAAAGTGCTGTGGTTTTAGTTTAGTAATGCTTGATTAATACTAGTGAAGGTTTAGGAGATGGAAATAGAGTGATTTGATTATAACTTGGGCTTTATCTCTACTGAGGCTTGCCTTCTGCGTGGGATATATCTGATCTGCATATTTTAGGTTTCCTATTGTAGCTAGTGACAGGAATCAAAACATGCCCAGTTTCCATTTGCATAAAGGAATTCCATGGTCTTTCAACCTAGGCTGACTTGGAATGATGATCCTCCCAAATTCAGTTTGCTAAGCAGCTTAACTTTTTATTCTGGTTACCTGGGTCTGATTCAGGGCCCCAAGTGGCACCCCTTCCATTTGAGTCTTGTGTGTTTCCTCTTCTGCTGTGTCCGGCTCTGAATGACCATCTTTCTGGAGTAATAAGGATTAGAGGCTTGAGTCCCTGACCTTCAACTAACTTTTGTTTGATTTTTTTATTTTTAATTTTATTTTTTATTTTTGTCAATTATGGGGCTTGAACTCTTACTCTGTCCCTCAGCTCTTCAGCTCAAGGCTAGCACTCTACCACTTGAGCCACAGCTCCACTTCTGGTTTTCTGGTGGTTCATTGGAGATAGAGTTTCACAAAGGCTTTTCCTGCCTCGGATGGCTTTCAACCACGATCCTCAGATTTCAACCTCTTGAGTAGATAGGATTATAGACATGAGCCACTGGCGCCTTTTACTTTTTATATTTTACATATTTTCAAGTTTCACCATAGACAAATATTACATTTTTCTTTTTGTATATTTATTTGACAAATGTGGATCTATCTTTGTTCTTTAAGTCAAATGATGGTAGCCTGTAAATGTTATAGGGTATAGACTGAAGTTACTTACAGGTCTGCTTAGAAAACATGGCTTACCTTTATTTGTATGTATGAAACAACAATTTTTGAGTTTTTTCAGTTACAGATGATTTTAGGGATTTTCTATGATCTTTGGCTCTTTCAGTGAAGTGAAGACTTATGATCCTTCTGGTGATTCTACGCTTCCAACCTGTTCTAAAAAACGCAAAATAGAAGAGGTAGATAAAGAAGATGAAGTAATTGAGAGGAAAGCAAAAAAATCTAAGATTAAAGTTAAAGGTTAGTATGCATTAAGAACTGAGGTTTTGGGGGGGTTTTTTGTTTGTTTGTTTTTTTGTCGGTCGTGGGGCCCGAACTCTGGGCCTGAGCTCTGTCCCTCAGCTCTTCAGCTGTAGGCTAGCGCTCTACCACTTGAGCCTCAGCCCCACTTCCGGCTTTTTCTGCTTATGTGGTGCTGAGGAATCAAACCGAGGGCCTCATGTACTTGCAAGGCAAGTACTTTACCACTGAGCCACCTTCCGAGCCCCGAACTTAGTATTTTTTGAGACATATCCTCCATTGCATTCCATTGCATTCGTGCAGAGTTAATGAGCTAATGGTATAAGTATGTACAGTCAAACATTTCAGTACGAGTACAGAGATTGCAATTTCTAATATGTGAGCTGTTTGGTAGTTAGACAAAAAGGAGTGAGAGTGATGGTTCACACCTAAATTCCCAGTTAAACTAGGGCTTGGGAGGAGGTCTGATAAAATCTGATCGTTGTATCTTTACATTTTTCTCTACTTAGCTGAAGAAGAGGAAGAAAATGTACTCATAGTAGAGGAGGAAACACCTGTAAAGAAGAAGAAGAAGAAAGATAAAAAGAAACACATTAAGGAAGAACCACTCTCTGAGGAGGAACCTTGCACCAGCACAGCAATTTCTGTATGGTTTTTGTTTGTTTGTTTTGGGGTCCATCATGGGAGCCTGAACTCTGGGCCTGGGCGCTGTCCCTCAGCTCTTTAGCTGAAAGCTAGCATTCTCTACCACTTGAGGCACAGCACCACTTCTGGCTTTTTTCTGCTTATATGGTGTTGAGGAATCGAACCCAGGGCCTCATACATGCAAGGCAAGCACTCTACCACTGAGCCACCTTCCCAGCCCCCCATATGTTGTTTTTAATATGAGTATTATGTGTTTGGTCAGGGTCTCAGTGGTTTACTCCACCAGAAATGAGCAGATCTTTGAATAAAGGGCTTTCTTTCATAGAGAAGTAAAATATAAAACTATGAATTATAAGGGCAATTTCCAAATTTTTCTACCTGAAAATGTGTTTGGTTTGAGGAAGAAAATATGATCTGTTAAAGCTCACTATCTTGGCATTGTTTTCTGCATTTTATTAGGGAAAGTTACACAATTACAGTTTTTTTCAAAAGCGTTCTTCTGATTGTTTACAGACTCCAGAGAAAAAGAAGAAAAAGAAAAAAAAGAGAGACACTGAGGACTAATGAAGGGAACCATAAATCTGTCACCTGGACACTACATGTTCATGACTCACTGAGAATATACCAGAAGTGCTCTCCAAATACAGGAGTAGGCTGAATGAAAGTGATTAATCACCCATAGATTTTCAGACCTTTACATCTTGACATCAACTCAGTTAACTTTACCATGTCATTAATTCTTAGATGTGAAAATAAAAGTATATTCTTTGTATATAAAGCAGTTCTGTGATCTCTTTACATTTTAGGTAGAGAATCTTGAGCCTGTAAATTTTGTTTGGCATTTGACGATTGTTTTCTGATCATCATTGCTAAAATGTGACTTCTTAGTGTTTAGTTTGAAGCTTCTCTTTGGAAGGTGGTGATCCGTGGGACCAAGTTGAGGACATTGTTGTTGTGTTTTTACTGCCTTTTTTTGACTTTCCTTTCTTTCTGTTTAATCTTTCTGCTTATTTAAATAAAAATATGATTTTTGTTCAAATTTTAAAAGAAGATGTGCAGAAATTTTGGTATCCTTTCACAAAGAAAGAAAATACTGTCCTGTAACTTTAGTGCTCACTGTTCTTAAAAACTTGGCAAAATCTTGGCAGGGATACTATTTTTGTTTTCATGAAAGGCCTTAAAGTTGGTTGACAGGTATTCTACCCTGGAGTTCTGTTCTCATTCCAAGTAAAATCTTGTGATTTTGATTAGGCCACACTGAACCACTGTCCTGTGCAAGCATCCATGCCCAGCTTTTTATTAGTTGAAATGATCTCTTAAGTTTTCATGTGAACTGTCCTTGAACCACAATCTTCCTGGTCTTCTTAAATAGCTGAGAATGTAGACATAAGCCTTTGTAACTGCCTGCAACAGAATAATTCTTAATTTATGTCTTTATTATTTGGAGGGGGAGGGTTCGCTCATGGGCTTGAACTGTGGGCTTAGGCACTCTCCTTGAGCCCTTCAGTTCACGGCAAGCACTCTTGAGCCACAATGTACCGTGGTTAGTTGGAGATAAGAGTCTCAGGAGTTTTCCTTCCTTGGCTGGCTTTGAACCATAATCCTCAGATCTCAGCCTCCTAAGTAGCTAGGATTATAGGCTGAGCCTCCGGCGCCTGGCTTTTATTCTTTTAACTTAGAATTTGTGGTGCTGAGACTCAAACTCACTGCCTTGTATTGTGCCCCTAACTCAAATCACTTTATTTGTTTGTTTATTTGCCAGACCTGGGGCTTGAACGGCTCAAGGCTAGCACTCTACCACTTGAGACACAGCCACAGTGCCACTTCCAGCTTTTTCTGCTTATGTGGTACAGAGGAGTAGAACCCAGGGCTTCATGCATGCTAGGCAAGCCACATTCTCAGTGTGCAGCACTCTCCTCCCCCCCCCCCCTTTTAATTGTGAAAGTATGGTACAGAGGGGTTACAAATACATGGGCAAGGTAATGAGTACATTTCTTATCAAGCATTGTTGCCTTCTCCTTTGTTCCCCCCACCCCTTGTACATCTCATTGTTGCAATGGGTCCACCTGTATCCCTATTTAATAATTTGTTTTTTTCCTTCCCTTCCACAAATTATACCAACATTAAATACAATAACGGGTTATACCCTGGGGGAGGGACATACAAAGCAACAAAAATAATCTTATGTTAGAAACAATCACAAGAAAGAAAAAGAGACATTTGAATCCTTAACTTGGGGTTCATTTTGCTTAACATCAACTTATCTGACAATTTCTGCTTGTCTCAGACATAGTCACTGCAAATAAGGAAAACCATGGGACCTGTGTTTCTTTGGGCCTGGCTTACTTAATATAATTTTTTCCAAGTCTTTCTGTTTTCCTGACAAATGGGGCAATGTCATTTTTCTGTTGGAGGCATAAGATTACACTGTATACCACATTTTCTTGATCTATTCATCTACTGAGGGCATTTGGGTTGGTTCCATATCTTAGCTATGGTAAATAATGCTGCAATAAACATAGTTGTGCTGGCAGCTTGTATGGCCTTGTTTGTGATCATTTGGGTAAATGCTCAAAAGTGGGATTGCTGGGTCATAGGGGAGCTCTATGGAGTATTTTGAGGAACCTCCATACTTTCCAAAGTGGTTGAACAAGTTTATACTCCCACCAACAATGTAGTAAGGTTCCCTTCTATACATCCCCTCCAGCATCTGTTGTGTTAGAGTTCTTGATTATAGCCACCCCCTCCTGTTTTTATTGGTTTATTTTTGGTGGCAGTACTGGGACTTGAGCCCAGGTTCTAGTGTTTTTGCTCAAGACTGGCGTTCTACTACTTAAACCACAGCTCTACTTACAGGCTTTTGGTGGTTAAATGGAGATAAATTTTCTGCCCAGGGAAACTTTGAATTTTGCTCCTCAGATCTCAGCTTCCTGAGTAGCTATGATTATATCAGCATGAGGCACCAGTATCTGGGTCCTGACTTTTTTTTTGGGGGGGGGGGGTTCCGGTCATGGGGTTTGAACTCTGGGCCTGGGCACTGTCCCTCAGCTCTTCAGCTTAAGGCTAGAACTCTACCACTTGAGCCACAGCACCACTTCCGGCTTTTTTTTTTCTGCTTATGTGGCGCTGAGGAATCGAACCCAGGGCCTCATGCATGTAAGGCAAGCGCTCTACCACTGAGCCACCTTCCCAACCCCCTGGGTCCTGATTATTTTTAAATTATAAAGTAGCCTTCTCAAGGGAATGCAGAATGCATTTGAGGCAATCTGGGATTAAACCTAAATCTTTGAGCATTGTATTCTAAGCTTTATTCCTAGTCCACTTAACGTTTTTAAGGTAGACAATGCCACCTGGTTAAAAGGAAAAGAAGAGCAAAAACTGTCAGTAGGAATTTGGTATGAGTTGAAACAATAAATTACCAGATTGGTTATATGATTGGTTTTGAAAAGCAGTGCTTAACATGCAAAGAGAAACCTTTCTGACTACTCTTGCTTACATCTGTAAGCATTGTCATGGTCATTCTGCTGATGGCTAATTTGGCAAATGAATTTGTTCAGTGGAAGAGGCTAAAAAGTAACTCCAGTTTCACTTCATTTACATGACCCCGGCAAGTTAACATTCCCAACTTGTTTACCCCCTTTTGCAAATCACACTAGTAATTAGCTTTAATATCTTGCTTAGCTTGAGTAAATTTTTAAAAATTTTTCTAGGGTTACCATTAAGATAATAGTTATACAAGTAAGGTAGAGTACATTTACTTTTGAAAAATGTCACCCCTTCTATTGCTCTCTCCTAGAGGCTTAAATTTTGGTTGCATTTGGTGTATATATGTTCTGGTTCTGGTGCTTGAAGTGCAGGCCTGGGTGCTGTCCCAGAGCTGCATTTGCTCAAGGCTAGATCTCTACCACTTAAGTCACAGCTCTAATTCCGGCCTTCGGGGGAGTCATTTATTGAAAAGTAAGAGTCTTAGAGAGTTTCCTACTCAGATGGCTTCAAACAGTGATCCTCAGAGCTCACTCAACCTCCTAAATAGCTAGCATTCATTATAGGTGTAAGTTACTGGTGCCTGGCAAGTGTGTGTGTATACACATGCTGATACTAGAGATTGAACTTGGACTTCCTTGACTTTTTCTCTCAAGGCTGGTGCTCTGCCACTTCTAGGAGTCCAGGCATGAGCCGTGGGCACCTTACTCTAACATTTGCAGATAGTAGGAGGGCCAAGGGGATGATGTAGTCAATAGCTTTACATCTACCAGGCACAGTTCAAAGCCAGCCTAAGCAGCAGAAAAGGCCAGGAGATGTTTACCTTCAATTAACTACCAAAAAGCCAGAAGTGAAGCTGTGGCTCAAGTGTTAAGAACGTTCACCTTGAATGCAAAAAACTGGTGGAGAGTGCCCAGGCCCCTAAGTTCAATCCCTGAGATCTACATACTCACACCCATAATCTACTTTCTCAGGAGGCTGAGATCTCTGGATTGCAGTTGAAAGCCATCCCCTGCAGGAAACTGAGACTTAAATATTTATAAGGCCTTGACATAATTGGGGTCTTGTGAACTCTTGCTCGGCTTTTTCATTCATGATTGACAATACTTGAGCCACACTTACTTTCTGTCAGTTGAGCTCTGAGCCTGGGCGCTGCTCCGAGCTCTTGCTAAAGGATAGCTCTCAACCACTTTGAGCCATAGTGCCACTCCCCATTTTTGAATAGTTAAATTAGAGATAAGTCTCACATACTTTTGATCTTCAACCCACTATCTCAGCCTCCTGAGTATCTAGGATTACAGACATGAGCCACTGGCCCCAGCATTGAGCCAGACTTCTAATTTGGCATTTTGCTGGTTAATTGGAGATGGAGTCTGTAGACTTCTACCTGGACTTGCTTCAAACCACAATCCACTAGTTCTCTGCCTCCTGATTAGGTAGGATTACAAGCCTAAACCATCCAGCAAGACCAAGCTTGTACTTTGTCCCAAGTGTCCTACTTTGAATTAGGACTATTGCCAAGTCTTAAGGGGGTTTTGTTTGTTTGTTTTTGTTCATACGTAGGAATCACCTAAAAATGTTTATAAAATGTAAATAGGTTTCTTGTCCAGATTGAGTGAGACCAGTGATTCCACATTTTTTAGCATGCTTCAGGTAGCATGAGATGATCAGGGCAGCAAGAGCCGGAAGTGGCGCTGTGGCTCAAGTGGTAGAGCGCTAGCCTTGAGCTGAAGAGCTGAGGGATAGCACCTAGGCCCACAGTTCAGGCCCCACAACCGACAAAAAAAATAACTAAATAAATTACATTCAGAATCTGCTTATCCCTAAGTCGGTTGTTCTGAACGCTAATACTCCTGAAGAGGTTTCTTTTGAGGTTTTTGCTGTTTTCCCTGATATGTTCATTCCTGAATAGTGAACCTATGCTCTCTTTCTCTCTCTCTCTTTTTTTTGTCAGTAATTGTTCCCTGCATATAATAGGCCTTAATATTCAGTGGTGAGTATTAAAAGTCAACATTGATTTATTTTTAAATACAAGTAATGTCAGACTCATTTTCAGTAGTTTTTGTTCGTTTTGTTTTTACAGTGCTGGTGATTGGAGCCAGGACTTTGTGTATGCTGAGATGCATTCTACCTCTTATCCCCTTTCAGTAATCTTGTGTTATTCCAATCATTTCATTTAGCAAATGGTTGATTTTTCTGGGCTTACTACAATTTTGTTGATTGGTTTTGATTTAAAGAGAAACTGGAAATAATATCTAAGAATGGGGTGATGCACCAGTGGTCACAACA